TTTACTTGTCTTATATTTTCGACACTTTTGTGTAGATCGATTGCACCCATTCATTTACCACGTCAGAAAAATTCCCAACAAAAGAAGCTTTAATGGCATGGGTTCGTGAAGTATGTAAAAGAATTGGAATGGTGTTAATGATTGGGGGTTCGAGTGACGGGGATAGAGGACGTAGGACACCGTATGTGATTGTTCGTTGTGAGCGTGGGGGCCATTATGTTGGCAAGAAGGTACCAGGTGAAGATGATCAAAGACCGGGAAAAAGGAGCACCGGTTCAAAGAAATGCAATTGTCCGTTTAAATTGAAGGGGACAAGGGAACACAAGGATGATGAAAAGGCTGAGTGGAAATTGGATGTTAGTTGTGGTATTCACAACCACAACTTATTCGAAAACTTGCACGGACACTCTTATGCCGGAAGATTATCAAAGGAGGATGTTTCCTTTGTTCACACTATGAAGAAAGCAATGGTGAAACCAAGGGCAATTCTAAGAGCATTGAAGCAAAAGGACCCGTCTAATGTAACTGGTATGAAGACAGTTTACAATACTATCTCTAAGTTAAATTTCAGTGAATTGGATGGGAGATCTCAATTGCAATCATTGTTTGTCAAGTTGAAAGAAGATGAATACCTCTCGTACCATAGATCGAACGAGTTGAATGCGATTACCGACTTGTTTTGGATCCACCCGAAATGCATTAAGTTGGCACAGTCGTATCCGTACGTATTCGTCATCGATTGCACGTACAAGACCAATCGTTACGGACTCCCATTTCTTGAGATTGTGGGTTTTACTTGTACCAACAAGACGTTCTCAATTGCCTTTGCTTACTTGGACCACGAAAAGACGGAAAATTTTGAATGGGCGTTGCGTTGTTTGAAGGAGGCCATGACCAGTTGTCCTCGGCCTAATTGCATTGTAACAGATCGAGATTTGGGTTTAATGAAAGCAGTGGCCAATGTGTATCCATCGAGTCATCACTTGCTGTGTCGGTGGCATGTGAACAAGAATATAGTGGCCAATTGTAAGAAATTGTTCCCAAAGGACATCACCAAATGGAAGCAATTTCAGTCGAGTTTTTCGGCTCTTATTGAAAGAAATACCATAGAGGAGTTCAATGAGGATTGGGAGGATTTGAAAAGAACATTTATTGGTTATCTCCCGGCTATAGAGTATGTAGCTAATTCATGGTTGGATCCGTACAAGGAGAGACTTGTATCGGTGTGGACAAATAAGTATACTCATTTTGGAACGTACACTTCTAATAGGGTGGAGGGGGCACACGGACGAATGAAAAGGGATGTGCGTAATTCAACTGGCACATTTGTGGATTTGTATACGAAAGTCCACAATCAAATTGTCGAACAACACAATGACATCAAGGCTTCCTTTGAAGTAAGTAAAAATACTTACGAGCACACTTTCAAAACGTTGATATACAATGAGCTTCGTGGAAGTATCTCAAAATACGCTCTACAACTACTCAAAGTTGAGGTGGACAATGCGAAACTATTGCAACCGAGCGATATGGGTTGTAGTTGCGCCATTCGAACAACCCACAGTCTACCATGTCGCCATGAACTTCATGAGTATGTTGTTGTGAACAAATGTCCTATCCCACTTGAGTTAATAGGCTCGTATTGGAAACACATGAGTATGGAGCCCGTCGCGACCACAGGCCAAGTCATCCTACCAACCATCGACGAAGAATTATCGGAATACCAGAAGCTCTTTGAATGTGCCGATCTCGATGCAAAAACTCGATTGCGCAACCATTTGAGACATTTTACCCACCCAGAGAAGACTAACCTTACGGAGCCAAGTGAAAAAGTTGTTAGCAAAGGTCGACCGGCAAAAAGTAGGAAAGACAAATCAAGCACTCGGGACAAATCACATTTTGAGTATGTGGAGCCAAAGAAAAAAAAATCGAAGCAAGCTAGTTGTTCTCCAAAGGTAAATGTCGCTACTATCGTCTCATTTCATTGAAGTCGTATTTTATAATTGTGCTGAGTAGTAATGAAATGTAATATACTGCAGCTTATACCTGTACTGATGAGATTACGAGGGCATTCGAATGATTCTTTCAACACTATACCAACTCAAGAGTCAGGAAAAAGCACTATACCGACACAAGAGTCGGTCAAACCATTATTTGAAGATGCAGATGTGGGATTGCCACCAGGTTTGATCGGCAAGAATAAGTACATTGACACGATCCCAACCTTTCAAAGTTGTTGTGTGATTTCGTATTCGAAATTCTGAGCCGCGCTCCGAACGATCTGGCCCTCCGTTCACAATATGATAAGCAATGTGCTTATCAAATTTTGTGTACAATTCCGGTATCTCGGGACCTAGGACCGGTTCATTGCTCGAATCACCAACTTGTACAGTCGAATGTAGAGCCGGCACCGGATTCGTTGACGAAGAACCCTCTCCAGACTTCTTCTTGGTCGTGGTCTTTTTCTTGGTCGTGGTCTTTTTCTTGGTCGTGACTGCTATGCCCTTGCCTTTATCGGATAATTCCTTCCTCTTTTTACGGTTCGAGACAGTCGGAGGTATACGAGGTTGACGTGGTTCTTCCACTGCAAAATAACACACAAATAAAAATTAATATACATAATATAAACACAAGCAAATAAAAATATGAAGAAAAAAAAAAAAAAAAAAAAAAAAAAAATCACAGCTCAAATTCGACAGAAACCTGTCGAAATATGGGGTAATTTTCGACAGTTAACTGTCGAAAATTACCAAATCCAAACTCAACATTTTCACCATTTTCGACATCTACATGTCGATTTTGGATGAATTTTCGACAACAACCTGTCGAAAATTCATCGAAATTCGACATGTACAGGTCGAAAATGGAGAACGAAGAACCGACCCACGAATCTCAAATCAATGCTCAAATCGACTGAAATCAGATGCACCCATTACTAATTAACGATCATTCTAACCTAAAACAACCAAATCCTAATTACCCATATCAAACATTCAAATCTTAAATAAATATTAAAGAAAAAAAAAATCGAAACAACTATAACTTACTATTCGAAGACGACGACGGCGGCGGCTTTGGGCGACGTTGGGCGGCGTGGGCGGCGTTAGGCGGTGTTTGGCGTCGGCGTCCGGCGGCGGCGATGGTTGGAGCGGCGGCGGCGGCGTCGGGCGGCGTGGACGGAGGGAGGTTGACGGAGGGAGTTTTTTGTGTTTGATTTTTTTTTTCTTTTTTTTTTTTTTATTTGGTTTTCAAATAGGTAATTTCAAAGAAAAATTAATGTAATTAGTATTTTGTATGAAAGGGTATTTTTGTACTTTTATTTTTATTTTGGTATTAAAGTAAGAAAAAACTTAAAAATATGTACTCAATTGTGGTTTTCAACTAGGTAGTATTCAACTAAGCAAAAGTTAGTATTCAAAATAGTTGCCCCCGTGAAGTAAATGTATAGAGAATGTGGTTGGACTTGTTTGGGTGAATTTTTATTTTATTTTTTATTATAATTAATAACTTAATTTTGCATATTAATCAAAATCCAAATATATTATTTTTATGAACACAATATTGCTCTATTATACTCCCTCCGTTCCTAAATAATTGTCACTTTTTACTTTTCACAAAGATTAAGAAACTCAATAAATATATCTTGATTTTAGAAAAAAATATATAAAAATGACTAAAACAACCTTTATTATTTAATGGATTATAAGAGGAAATTAATAAATAGAATTTCATTAATAAGGTTAAAACAGGAAAAATGCATTTAATGCAGTATTGGAAATGTAAAGTGACAGATAATATGGAACAAAAATATTTTTAAAAAGAGACAGTTATTGTGGAGCAGAGGGAGTAGTATACAATATACTTTAAGATTAAATAATAAATATGGGTTTTGCATAAATGGTAACTTAATAATGTTAGCCAAAAAAAGGGCAACAAGACCAATTATTTGATAGAAATTTAAATAGGAAAAATGATGGTTTTTGTATTCATATGTAGCCAGCCAATTTGAGCAGGCAACAACTTTTTGATACCCTTCCTACACATTTTAAGATAAAGTTGGTGACTATTGCCAGTTCACATCTATATATATATGCACAATAATGTTTAGTTTGATTTTGTGTTTTATTGCAAAGATGTTAGGACAATGTATTTCGAGATATATCTATATAAAGAGAGAAAAATCGTAGCAATGTTTCGACTTTACATACTCAATCTTAGTTATTACGCGGTACATGGGATAAAATGAATTAGGTACATCGTAGTTGTTCATTTACTGATTTACACATGAAAATGTGCGAATAAAGTTCGATCATTCGGGCTGTTGATATATAGTTGAGAAAACGACGAAAAATTACAGTAAATTATGGCGTTTGCAGAAATCTACTAGTATTTCGTATACTTTAATGCACTACAGCTGCTTAAATTGAGTTGAATTTTCCAAACTAGGACATCTGTTGTATTTAATGGATTTATTCAAGAAGTGGATAGGATAATAATAATGAATATGTGGGTGGATATGGTTTTATCTATCCTACATCCGGTGAAGGTTACACCGGGTGGTTTTTAACCGTTGATCTACACACACCAATGTGGGTGTGTGTGTGTTTGTGTGTATATGAATGGTAAAGATCTACCCGGTGTATTTCACCCGGTGTAGGATCTCAAAAGCCGGGTGGATATCTTATTTGGGGACCGAATAATATAATTTATTTTAATTGGAATTATTTAATATGCAATTATTTATTTATGTACCAAAGCTGAAATCCAACTTTCAATTAATCTATATAGCACGGACACGGAAACGGTTATACGTCAAAATGGACATGGGAAAACGGTATATCCCGTAAATGAGGATACCGGAATTTAGGGGAAACATGTAATATCAAAAGTATAGGGGTATATTTATAAATATTGTATATAAACATATATAAATTTTTATATATATATAAATTATTTTATATATTTTCATACAAACATAAATCAACATAAGTTTTACTATCAACTATTAATTTGCAGTTGATTATTAAACTATGTATATAATTAGGAAATCAATGCAAATATTTGAAAATTTGCTATTCAAATATGTTTCTAACTTTTTATAAATTTTAAAGTGACTCATAACGTGTTCGGCAGGTGTCTTCTAATTCCCGCCAAAAAACGTGTCCGAAATATGAAAGTATATAGAAATTGAAGTTTCCATGCTACATAAATTAATTATTCAAACGCCACAAAATGAATTTACATTTTAAAATATTGACGAAAAAAATTAAATAAATAAAAGAAAAACAATTCATTTCCTTCTTGTGCTCTCTTCGAACTGAGCTCTACTCAATTGGTCAGCCAAAAAGTCAACACGAAAATGTCCATTGTGCCTCACCCTCGCACGTTCGCCACGTGTCAATCGCTCGCACCTATCCAGAACAATGTTTCCACTTCTCCACCGATCAAATCATTCGCCACTCTCTTCTTCTGCAAACTCCGTCAATCAATTACAAACGCTTTTTCCGGCGGTGAAATGGCGACTGAGTCTTCAAGCAGCGGCGATTCTGCCAGGACAGCAGCATCCGAAAACGGCGGAGGTGGATCGGCGCGCCGCAGTCGGGTTCTCTCGAGCAAGCTCTACTTCGACGTGCATACTTCTAAGGTAAAACCTACAGTGTATTCACAACTATTTTTTTCTGTTACTATCTACTTTATTAGCTTGCGATGAGGGTTTCAATCTAGTGCTGGCTGAGTACGAATTTTGAGTTAATTCGTCTCGTTTCTGATTTTTTTCTTCTTCCTTCTTTTGTAGGCTCCCCTAATTTATTCATCTTCGTATGATATCTCCTTTCTCGGCATTGAAAAGCTGTAAGTAGCGCTGCCGATTTGATTAGGTTTGACTTCTGATAAATCGAATTAGGGATTTCATAGGCTAGTGTTTTTTTTCTTTTTTCCGCATTTCTGTATTACTTGTGGTTTTCATATTTATCAATTTTTAATGATAGCAATACAGTCAGAATCACCTGAAAAAATGAGTACTCACTGCACAGTCTCAATGACAATAAGCATACCTTGCGACGCGATTGCCAGTTACGTTCCTGCCACAACCTAGCGAGTTAGGGTTGGTTTCTCTCTCATCATACAACATAGTAATGTAGCATGTCCACATAGTGCTCGAGGAAAATATGAGAAGTGCTTAACATAAGTTTATTAAATGAAAATAAGAATTAAACCTTTGTGTGGTCTCGTATCAGAAGCTCACTTCTGCATCTCCTGTGACCTTGTTGCGTAGTTGAAAGATTGACTGTTCTTAATCATGTTACTTTGGAAAATATCAGGCACCCTTTTGATTCTTCTAAATGGGGTCGAATCTGCCGCTTTCTGATTGCCGAGGGTCTTTTGGACAAAAAGCACATAGTTGAGCCTGTGGAAGCTAAAAGGGAAGATCTTCTAGTGGTATCCATTCTTGTTCACATAGTCTTTGTTTGGTATTTTTTGGCATACAGGCCTTGCTGGTGCAATTAATGACTGCATTTTTACATTAAGTTTTGAAGTTTTTAGATTTTTATGAATGAGATTTTTCAGTACTCGGTACAAATAGCTGATTGGTAAACTTAACTATACTCACTGCTTTCTTATTGACATACTTCATTTAAAATTCTAGCGTTTGCTTTCTGGCTGCATGAAAACTTGATGTCAGACAGATGCTCACTGACCTGGCTAACTGTGATGAAATTAGTTTTTGCTTTTGGATCTTGAACCTTTGTTACTGGTTTTCATGTTTTATTGTTTGATGATCTAGCAGTTTTTTGCACCAGATATTAAACAATAAACACGAAAAAACTTGCAGATGAATTCACTTAATTTTACTCTTTATTTGAAGGAATGGTTACTCTTTTAAGTTTTAATCGTATTGGTTCTGTGATCGTCTATCTCTTTTTAGATTAAACTTGCAGTATACTTGCATATATATATATATATATATTACACTTTGGTAGCCAGATTTCGTGGTTATTTATCTTTTGAAACCTTGGTGACAGGTGCATTCAGAATCATACTTGGATAGTTTAAAAAGTAGCTTGAATGTTTCTACAATAGTTGAGGTAACATTTTTTGAGTTTGCGCCCAAGATTTTCACATAAAAGAAAGATATAATCTCCGAACATTTTCATTTCGATGTTCAAAATCTCATTCTAATTATAAAGTAGAAGAGAAAATGGTTCAATTGATTAATCTGTCTAAACTAGGCTCTTTTATTTCTTCAGATGACAATTTTTTTTCCTTTTGGTTTTAATTTAGGTCCCTCCAGTAGCACTATTGCCAAACTGTCTTGTGGATAAGTATGTTCTTCTCCCATTTCGCAAACAGGTTCTATCGACGGACATAACTTTTTAATTTTTTTTATTAAATTCTATACTACCCTTTTACTGGAATCAATTGTTAAAACTACGATAAACTGTAGGTTGGGGGGACCGTATTGGCTGCTAAGCTTGCAAAAGAGCGAGGATGGGCTATCAATGTCGGTGGTGGGTTTCACCACTGTTCAGCCGAAAGAGGAGGCGGATTTTGTGTTTACGCCGACATCTCTATTTGCATTCACTTTGCATTTACCCGATTAAATATTTCAAGGTATTAAATACGAATACAAACCCAAGGTTTAATTCTAAGCATAATCCCTGAGCACGAAGCTGTAACTTATTTATTGTGCTCATTTGTTGCAATCAACACAGGGTGATGATAATCGATCTTGATGCACACCAAGGAAACGGTCACGAAGTTGACTTTTCTGATGACAGTATGACATTTTTTTCTGATGACAGTATGACTTTAGCCTTTCTACATTGACTCGCTTGTTAATGAATGTTGTTTTTCGTCTTTTGTGCAGAGAGAGTCTACATTCTTGATGTGTACAATCCAGACATATATCCATTTGTAAGTTCCGACATGTTGTACTCATTACAAACCATTATTTCTTTGCTTTGAAATTTCAAAGAGGAAAAAGAGACCTTAGAAAAAGAAATCTTTGCGATCAGTCATTTCTGCTTACTTATCTTAAATTTGATTATTTATTATTTTGCTTATGCGAAGGACTACGAAGCTAGAAGATATATCAATCAGAAAGTTGAAGTAGCAGTAAGAATGATTTTACATATTCAAGTGTTGATATAGTAACTTAACTTCCTATTGTAATAATACTATATGTTAAATCTAATACTCTCTCTCTATATCATCACAGAGTGGAACAGCAACAAATGAATATCTGTCAAAACTCGATGGAGCACTCAAGGTATAATGTGGTTGACCTTTTCCCTCTTATCTTCTTCATTTGGCCTATAAATGAATTCGTCTAAATTATTTAGATTATAAAATATCCATCTTCCATTAGGGTATTCGACTATGTACGTGTTCTAGTGAACTTGTAGGTTGCTGCGGACTCATTTGACCCTGAATTGATCATCTACAACGCCGGAACTGACATTCTAGATGGAGACCCCTTGGGTAGGCTGAAGGTAAGTCGTCTTCGATTCATAAATTTTAACGATGGTTCGAAAAATCGCAACGGTAACTTATACATAAAGAGAGAAATTGTAATATATTCAAAAAAAATGTGTGCAGATCAGTCCTGATGGAATTGCGACAAGAGACGAAAAGGTTTTCGTGTTTGCTCGTGAGAGGGGTATTCCCCTTGTCATGCTTACGTCAGGTTTTGATTTCTTATTCCAAAGTTGATAAATCAATTCTTTATCTACGTTCTCCCACCAATTGCAGCTCAAGACTAGCTTTTTTAATTTCTTTTTTTTTTTTAAAATTTATTTTGCAGGTGGTTATATGAAATCTAGTGCTAGAGTAATAGCAGATTCTATCATAAACTTGTCAAAGAAGTCATTGATAAATATGGAGAATGTACAAAACATTGTAACCACATGAAGATCTTTTTTTTGGACTTGATGGATGTACTACTCTACACCTCCACACACAATGCATGGTGGACTGTACATATGGATGTCAATTGGACTTTTGTTTTTTCTTGAAGTAGTAGCTACTAACTTGTATAGATTATAATCTTCGACGGAAACGAATTTTTTTCGACGAATTTATTGGATTTTGAATGCTGTCCGAATAACCATTATATAACCATGTTTATTGAAACTTGAAATAAATTTGTCCAACATTCTAATTGTATAACGATAAATAATATATGAAATAACTCCAGAAAAGCTTGGCCTCATAATAAACTTGCTTAAATTCAGGGTCAATGAAGAAAACCTTCTTCACTTGACCGAACAAGTTAGCTGATACACCTGGTTATTTACATCGGGTTTATTTGAATTGTAGATTCGATTAGATAACTATCATATCCACTAAGCACACATACGCATGAGTGTGCGTAAATCTACAGTTAAAATACACATATTTATTTAACAATAATAGGTTTAAAGTTTAGCAATAATAGTTTTGATGTAGATGGTTCATTCCGAATGGGGCCAAAATACAATACGTAGAGCATTAATTTCCATTAAAAAGACAATTATAATCGTAGTTGCCGCAATATTTCAGCCAAGAAATCTTCAATGACAAAGTGTAAGATGCGAAGAATAACAATAAGACATTTTGTTTTGTGTCGCATTAACTATTTATTTCATTTTTTTCTGAAAAAATAATAATTAAAACTCACGTGGTGGGCGCGCATTCATGAAGAAAAAAAACATCCCCTCCATCATCGTCTTAATTACACTTCTAATCACCTCTTTGATCTTTACTTAACCACTACTTTATTTAAATCACGGATGATCAATTGATCATTATATACGAACACATCTAAATTACTAGTCCGTACACTCTCCGGATTTCTCACTCCCACTCTCTCTCCTCTCTCTCTCTAGAATTTGAAACATTGCTACCATTTTTGCGGTACATCCTGTGACAGCGACAAGCGAACAGAACCGACACTCGCAGCACCGATCCTTCATTCGTTTGACGTGCGCCGGGGCCTGCCTGTCTTGCGCCGCCGGCGTGCAATCGCCAGATGAGTAAATCATTAGCTGCTGTTTTACTCTTTGTAGCTTTGGTGGCCACGGCCTCTTCGTTCGCCGCATCGGAGGATTCGAAGTTGGTTGAAGATGAAGCCTCTTCCGCCGCCAATGCGACCGGCATCGATTCCAGCGGCAATAGGACTAGGCTGAAGGAGGACACCTTTGCTGATATTATCGATCGGGCGCTTGAGAAGGAGTTCACGGAGAATGAGGATCATAACGAAGGTTTTCCTAGATCTCAAATTTCTGTGCTGTTTCTAATCTCATTGTTTTCTGATAGTCTTATGTTATCGTGTTTGGTTAGGTTTTGCATTGGGGTTTATTCTGTGTTACGAGGAAATCAGATGCGTAAATTGAAACAAAAAATCGTCCCAGTTTCTTAAGAAATTTGATTAGGGTTTAGATTCGAGAGGTTTTTACAGTTTTACTTGTCCAGTCTTAATTTATTTGAGAAAATGCCCATTGGTGCTTTACTTTGCTTCAGATGCCAACAATGGACTTAGTTTTTAGTGGTTATTTGTTTTGAGGAATTTTTCCGTATCCAGAATGAGTCCTTGTTTAGTTTTTTGTTCAACGCAAGTTTTTCCATTCCAAGTAATTTTAGGATTAGGCCTTAATTCGTGTCTACTGTTGTGGTTTTACATGTAGAATTTTGATTGTTCGTTTTCAGTTTTATTTGATTAAGTGATGTTGGATTCTTAGTTGATCTAGTAACTTGAACTGAATTTTGGCAGTTAATGATGCTGGAGGCTTCAACAACAGTGTGGCTGAGCAGCAGGTTTGTGGCATTGCACCTGCTCAACTATTTTCGTTGGATTGATGGAAATGGAGTTGAATTTGCATCTATGATGATTGGGTGTTGATATGGGGATACAATAAATTGACAAAGAATCTTTGTTCTAGTACATAGTCAAACTTTTTGCCTTATCTCTGGCTTCCTTTTTTTTTTTTCTCATGATCAGGCTGTCCTGGAAACAGTAGCCAGAGTGAAGACAAAGAAAAATGAGACAAAGGAGGAAAAGTAAGTGTTTGTTCCAATCCTAGATAATTCTTTTTTTTTTTTTTTTTTTTTTTTTTTTTTTTTAATCATGGGCATCTTCACTAGTTGATTATTTACTTCCCTTTTATTCATATGATTTATCTTTTCTCATTAATAACAATAGATCCTTTAAACTTCATCAAGTTTTCAATCTGGATAATGACAATGGAGCTGAAGAGACCCCTACTTTGATCGATAGGAAGGTAAACCCAATGTTCTGCTACTTTTCTTTTTGTTTTGTTGTGATTTTTTCCTTAAAAAAATCAAAATGTTATGTATGTCCAGGACAACGTGTTTATCATATCAAATTTCAAATCCAAATACCCAGTGCTGCAGCTAGACTTGAGGTATACTTACAGTTTGACTCAGTGTACCCTGTCTCATCTTTTACGGTTCCAAATTACCTACTGGTGATTTTGCAGGCTCATATCAGATCTGGTTGTTGTCATTGTCTCTGCAACTTGTGGTGGAATTGCTTTTGCGTGTGCTGGACAACCGGTCCGATCTCTCACCTTTACCTGTGTTCTCAGTGGTTATTCACAGTCATTAAGCTTGTTCTTATCAGCATTTTATTTTCTAACTCAAAGAAATATCATACAGGTTATTACTGGATATTTATTAGCGGGGTCAGTTGTCGGACCTGGAGGTTTAAATGTCATCAGTGAAATGGTGCAAGTATGTAACTATTAAGAAGTTAATTCTTGACAGCTAATGTGATAGTTTGCTTATGTCGACGTCTTTTACATAAGTATGATTCTGATATCACCTGTACTTGTGTTATGTTCCTAATATGAGTAAAGAAATTGAAGGATTTTATGGAAATGATACATTCCATTCCTCTGGAAAGATGAATGTTGTGGCTTGATTTCCATGGATAGACTATGCCCAGTTTAGAAACTTGTCCATATTATTAGTTATTACTTTAGTATTGTGTATATTTTAATATGATTTTGGCAATAGTAACTTAGTAATATAATGGGAGGAGTGTGCTTTATCCAGGGCACGAGGATTTTGGAACCCTGCAACATCAAAATTGGCATTTTATTTGAGTAGAAGTTTGACTCCAATCTCTGTTTAGCATTGTTGAAAGCCAACACCGATCACTTTTCTTTTATTACGGATGGGGTAACTGATCCCCAGTCATTAAGCAGTTGAAAAATAATTTTAACTGGCTGGCTATATATATATTTTTAGGACTGCTCTGTTGTCTATAGCATAGAAAAGTTACATTCTAACTTCTGGCATATGTTTCATTTTAGAAGTACAGATAATGTTAATTTACTTTGTGAGATAGTGATATTTATAGCATTGCATGTTTCTTCATTCTAACGTAATTGGTGCATATAGGTTGAAACAGTGGCACAGTTTGGTGTAATTTTCCTTCTTTTTGCTCTGGGCCTGGAATTCTCCACAACAAAGGTTAGCTGCTTCTCAATGATGGAATTACTGTTCTATTAACCCTTCTGTATGAAACTCAAGTCATGGTTACTGCTGCAAACTAATCATATGTGCACATCACAGCTTCGAGTTGTTCGTGCAGTCGCTGTTCTTGGAGGGTTACTCCAAATTCTGCTTTTTATGTGCCTGTGCGGAATTATATCCTCGGTATGTTCATCATATGGGTTGTAGTTATTATCTTTTTTGCAAGAAGCTTAAACAACCCGCTTCATTTATGGTCAAGCCATCAAGTTGATAATGTCGATCATAGCCATGAGAATAGGTCATCAAACTGATCTTTTGAGTAGATGCAATTTCTGTAGTAAGAACCTTTCAAATGTGAATGCGCTTCCCCTCATTATATTTTAATGCATCCGTGATGCAACAGTGGCATGAGATTGTGATGGCTCTTATTAGCAGAGAAGATTTAAATATGCTCCTTTAGACTCTTAAGCCAGTTGTAATGTTGTGTCCTTAAACCAGTTAGTTTGTTGGTGATGTTATACGTTTGTTTCTTACAGTGGAAAGTAATTTTCTTCCCTCGGTCTGTATGCTGCAATTTTACGGTCATTATTTGCAGGCATGTGGCGGCAGAGCTTCTGAGGGTGTATTTGTTGGCGCTTTTCTGTCAATGTCATCTACAGCGGTGGTAAGGTCACACATTTTTCACTTGATTGTGCTTTGCCCCTTGTATGATATCTTGAAATCTTCTCCTTATTCTACTTTCTGATTGTAGGTATATAAATTTTTGATGGAGAAAAATAGCACTAATGCTCTTCATGGTCAAGTCACTATTGGCACTCTGATTTTACAGGTATCTTGAATATTGTTTCTCTTTTACTTCAAGACTGTTGTATTTTCCAGACTCCAGAGAGAACATTTTGTTTTCCGGGGGTAATGCTTCAGTCCACAATATCCCATCATAACTACCTTCATGTTCAATTTAATCGATTATTTTAATATCCATCAGATAACTTCATTTTTCTGTATATGGCATAGCAGTTGAAGGTTTTGATTGAAAAAAACATTTTTGGGTTCAGTTTTGCATATCCTCGTCAATTTGTAATTATAAGTATATCTTGCCTGGGATGCTCAATGCTTATATTATAATATTCTAAACCTTATTTTCAGGACTGTGCTGTGGGTTTACTTTTTGCCTTGCTTCCAGTACTTGGCGGCACTTCTGGTGTCTTGCAGGGGGTAATATCCATGACTAAATCGTAAGTTCAATCTTTTTACCTTTAATGAGCATGACAATTTCGACCTGCTAAACATAATACTTATTAATCCATTAGCCAGGCTGGTGGTCTTGATTGCTTTCTTGGCAGTTTTATCGATATTGTCACGGACCTGTGTGCCTTGGTTCCTGAAACTTATGATAAGTTTGTCATCACAGGTAAAAGGGGAGTTCCTTTTTGTTTGTTTATTTTCTGTGTTCTTTTTCGGGTTTGAGATGTTTGTCATTTACGAAGACATTGCATATCACAAGTCCGTGTATGGATATTTCTCCTTTTGCAGACCAATGAACTATATCAATTGGCGTCAGTGGCTTTTTGCCTACTTGTTGCTTGGGTTAGTTACCTTTCCATTTTCTTAAGTCTCTTCCAATTACTTCAGTACCTATATTGTATTGATATTTACAGTGTGAGATGATCGTTTTGACATTCATGCCAAAAAAGACAGATTTATAAACATAGCTCCCACATCTTGTCTCTGATTGCTAGTTTTTTTATGTAACCTGTGAATCTATGATCATATAAATGCCTCTAAACTGACTAGATTAGCACCTACTGTTCTATATGGTTTCAGTGTAGTGACAAGCTTGGTCTCAGTTTGGAATTGGGTTCATTTGCTGCTGGAGTGATGATAGCAACAACTGATCTTGCCCAGCATACGCTCGAACAAGTAAGATTGATTTACCATTCTTCTCTGACTGTAGGAGACAAATTACATGTTAAATTGTTAATAGTGTGTTTGCATGCATGCCAGTATAGTAAGAAATTTACTTACAGATATTACTATATACATTATCATTGTGGTACTTTCTTTGTTTGATTTGTGGCTTTTTATTAATGCAGGTTGAACCTATTCGCAACATGTTTGCAGCTCTTTTCCTGGCTAGCATTGGGATGTTAATCCATGTTCATTTTCTGTGGAATCATGTTGACATCCTGCTTGCTTCAGTTATATTAGTTGTCATTGTGAAAACTTCAGTCATTTCTGGAGTTGTCAAGGGATTTGGCTACAGCAACAAAACTTCAATACTCGTAAGATGCTACCATGTTTATAGATTTCATTTGGGTTTATCTTCAGACATATTCATTAACATTGTAGCCTTTGTCGTTGAGCCTTGTAGGTGGGAATGTCTCTGGCACAAATAGGGGAATTTGCTTTTGTACTGCTTAGTCGGGCCTCAAATCTTCATCTTGTTGGGGTAAATGCTTTCGAGCATACCATTGTAGTTTTCCTAAAACTTGATTAACTATCTTACCTCTTCCTTCCTCCATAGGGCTTCTTTTTGTTCTGTTGAGGTAATTGCTGTTCTGTTCATTTCATACATCTATTTGTAATTTCAGGGTAAAGTGTACCTGCTGCTTCTTGGAACAACAGCACTTAGTCTGGTACATAATCTTCTTTTATCTTGTTCTAGTTGATTCATTATATACAGTTGTTTTTGTGCTTGATCGCCAATGGTTTTACTTCTATACAAACGAAAGCATAATGTTACAGGTTTCATTTTACATTCATCCACTTAATTGTCGAGTACACAGCCATATGAATCTGGTTTCTTATTGGCCTCCCATATCCCAAAGAAATAGCCTTCCCTTTTTTTTATTCTTCCTAGCAGAGAGATACCTTTGTATTATGTTTGACATCTATAAATTGGGTACATGTCTATATAATATTGAATTTAAATATTATTTTACGTTTACTTGCACCAATTATGAGTCGATCTTTCTGAGTACGATAAGTTCACCTTGAGATAACAACCCCGCCTTTGCAGCTCTAGTGATTTAATAACTCTACCAAACCCATAACCTGCTCGCTTAGCTATCTTGGCTGGGAGATTTCTCTTTAGTCATGCGACTTAGTTTGACGTTTTAGTTGTGCTACTGTATCTTTTTCATAGTTGCCACTAAATTGTGTTGATAAGTATCAAGTAACATTCTACTCCTTGGCAACTTTTTGTTAATTGATAAGGTAATTAGTGGAATACCGGTTACAGTTTCTTCAAACTGATTGTTTTATCACGAAGTTCAATCCGCTGTACTGAAATGTTGGCCAAGGGCAATTGCTCCGATTTCATATTTTCTTACAGAGAAGACAAATATTCTCCTGCAGGTAACTACTCCATTGCTTTTCAAGTTGATACCAGCAGTAGTGCACCTTGGCGTGTTGCTACGCTGGTTCTCGCCTGAAAGTCAAACCGAGGTAATCCTTTTATTTCGTCTCATAAGTTCATTGTAATATAGCTATTATATTAATTTCCTGCATTGTTCTTTGAACATGATTTCTACGTTCAGCTTGGATTTAAAGGAGATGTTCTACGTACAGACAGTGCGAAGCAGAGAATTGCTTTAATATCCAAGGATCTCTTGATACATGAAGGATGACACTATTTGTTGAGTTGTAACAGTTCCACATATTTTACCTTGGAAAATGGTCCTTTTATTATCAAACCATCTAATGTCCAAACAGCTTGATTGGTTCATCAGATCTTCCCTCCGTTTCCATCAAAAGCAAGGCGGTGCGATGTGGATATATCTCATATTTCTCTAACCAAAGCAGTGAAACAGAAAAAAACGACGCGAGACTCAAAGACTCTCTAGGATGTAATCTAACTGCTAGACTAGGAGCCACTAACAATTCAAAGCAGCACACTGTACAAGGTAATCCTCCTTTTCCCCTTTTTTGAGTGTAAAATAATTTTGCAGTTATTCAAACAGTTGTATTTCCTCCCACTTGTTTGATTTTGTTTATGTTCTGTGTGATATGCATCAT